CTCTTCGTTAATGGTGATTCGTGGTGGGGTTTTGACGGCGACGTTGTAGTGTTTTCCGGCGAACCGGTTAAGTTATACAGAGATGAGAAAACGCGGGTTTCAGATGAAGAAAGGTTCGACCTTTTCGCAAAATTTTCAATTTGATCAAATTGATGTGAAAAAAAATTGTATTTATATAAAATAATTAATCCCAACAAAAGCAAGTTGATTTGTAGTATTTGATTAAACAAACAGAGTACATAATTAAAAAAGAAGAAGTTTATTTGGAGTGATTTTCCAACCTATAAAATACACCAACAATATAACTCTTGCACAATTCGATTTTTGAAAATCGTTAAGTGGTTTTATTAGAGTTTGTAGTTCGTTCAAATATACACAAATAAATTTTTGAAACTCTCTGGTGTATCTGAAAGGTTAATAGAAGAGTTATGGAAAATAATTATAGCCGTAGATTTGTTTGAGGTGGTGAAACTAAGGGCTGAGATGTAGCCACGAGGAAGAGATAGTTTGATGAAGTTGTTGACCATCGAAGTGGATACGGTGACATTGTCAAAAAGTGTGACGTTGGTTTCATTTGAGTTGGTATTAACAAAATTAGAAGTAATATTATATTTTCAAAGTGTTTTATAATCAAATCATTTTTGAGTAATTATAATTGTGAGAGTTGTTTTGTCTTTGTATGACTCAAAGTAGTAATGTATATGGTTGATTTGAAAGTTTCCGCAAACAGATTTGGTGTAGATTATTTCAAAACCTATCAGATTTGTAATTAGGAATTTAGGATAAAGAGATATTAGGTGTAGACTTTGTCAATCTAAGCAAATTTTTGGTACTTTATTTTGTGAAATAAAAAATGAGACGTATATATGAAGATTCTATTTATCAAAGTCAACAAACTGTAAACAAATGGGAACATCTTGTCTTTTTCTCTCTATTAATTTTTTTTCACTTTACAATTGAAATGAATTGACAAATGCGTAGCCATGTCGGGTTCTTATTCGTTTGATTTCTAAAATTTGGGTTTCCATTCGGAAAATGGTAAAAAATAAAAAAAGTACATCAAACCATTTTTTTTTTCCCTAACAACATACATCAAATATGTCGTTTTGCATAAACCATATTCCCTCTGTTATCCTAACAACAACTTATTTTAAGTTTAACATCAGAACTGTTTCTTTTCATAAGTTTC